ATCTAAAACATGTCCACGCACGTCTGCCCATCTGGTTTTTGTACTTGATGCGAGTAAACGGTAAAATAATAAAGGAAAAAAATTCCCAGGTTACACGCAGACCAGAATAGGATAGTAAAATTAGTATTTCTGGCGCGTGGAAAAGATTTATGTTTGGTTTGGGAACAAAAACAAATATAATGGAAGGTGGCAATGCCTGAAATAATGAATCTTATACCATCAAAAACGATTATAGTTAAAAAATTGTAGAGAACATTTTATGGGTCATGTGTTTGTATCCCACCGAATTATTCAATTCAGCCAACAATGGTAATACAATACTTGGATCGAGGGCGATCGTTTTTATTTATTCTCGTGTGTTTCATCAATTAAGGTGATATAGATTTAATGGAATTGATATCCCAGTAACAACGTACAAAAAACAACGATTCGCTAAGCATATCAACTATAGATAATGAACAAACAAAAAATACTTCATAAATATAATTGAAACTTTACACAAATAAACGTTATATATCTTAATTTTTTAAATGCGATAGTGGAGTTTCTTTCTGATTTTACGAAATGAGATAAGCGATGATATTGAATCAAATAATGTATGAATTTATTAGTCATTGAAAATGTTACCAAATACGTATTCATTTTTGAAATTCCAGAAAAATATAGATAGAACATTGATTAGGTTTCTTTTTACTCTAGTAAATATTAGATTTTTTTTTTTTTTAAATATTTTAAATAATAACTTCTATATTGAATATAATAATATATAAATTAAAATAATGTAAATATAAATTATGAAAAATACTTATCGATATTCGATAAACCTATCGAATATTGTAATACAATATATAAACGATATTTTGATTTGTACTAATTTTTGTTCAGAATGAACTGTCTCTTCTATGATTAGTTTATTTAAATTTATAAAACAATATTATTCCAGTGGTAAAGTTAAATTTTATAAAAAAAAAAGTAATTTAAATCCATGTAGACAAATTTAACAATTTTCAAAAACTAAAATTATAGATTATTATAAATTATAGGTTAGAATAGGTTTCTATTGGAAACAGTTGAATACATTAATTTTAAATTTAGTCATAACCGAGTTATGTCGCGGGGAAATTTTGGTACACGAGTTGTGTTCCAATAATAAAATTGGGGTAGGTACACGAGTTGTGTCTCTAAAAGTGATTTAAATTTAAACCAATATTTTACAAAAGGATATATGTTGTTTCCTAAATTGAAATAAAAATATTTTTATAAATTCAAAACCAGAAATGTGTTCATTTCATTGTTCTGTAAATATCTAGGTATAATGTATGTTTTTTACTGAATAAAAGTTGATTCTGCCTATTATCATTGTTGTTTAGAAAAAAGGTGTGTGTAGAGCTACAAAGGTTGTCATTGTACATTTACGGTCATTATTATTTACAAATTCACACTTTTTTAGGTATTATTATTATTATATACATGTACGATAGTTATAGTTATAATAATAATATAATAATAATTATTATTATAAATTGAAATAACGGAACATTTTTTATTCTTGTGTAAAATGTAATATACATAATATTTGTGTAATAATATAATTGAAAAATATATCAATTTGTATAAACAACTTATGTAGGTAGCTGTATATTTTATTTTTCAGGGCATAATTCATGTAATCTGAAATAATCCACCGGACACAACACGTGTAACCCGAAAAAATACATAGGACACAACTCTGTATTTGGGACATAACTCGTTTGTAGTCGATATGACAAAGCTTTTAAATAATGGTTCAAGATTTGTTTTTCCGAAGTATTCTAGATTTTTTAAAAATAATGAACACATTAGGCTACATTTTTCCATAATGTTTTAAGTTTTTAAAAATACTACGCAATTCAATTAATGACATCACAAAAGTACAGTATTTAGACGAATTCATTCAATTTCCAACGCAAAGTGGTACTTAATAAAAATTTATTTTCAATACCCAAAAAGCATTAACCAAAAAAATTTATAAAAATACATTTTAGTAGATATATTATATTTTGTAATAGTTTTAGATGTATAAATAAATTCATAGACGTAAGACAATTACGAAATGGTCAGTGATCAAAATATGTTAAAACAAGATGAGAATCAACAGAAAAAGAGTTGTGATTAAAACCAAAACTAATGTGATCGAGAACTAAATAAATATACATTCTTTTTTTTTATGTTTTGGCGTTCTTAGAGATTATATATGGAATACACTTTAATTTTTCTATGTCAATACGCGTTTGAGAATTTAATCACAATTATACTTAAACGGTATATATATGACAGTTTAAATTAAAAACTAATCACGTATTAAATATAATTTGATCATACATTTTAATTAAAAATATTTTTTAACTGTATATTCGATTTGACCTACATAATATTATCGATTTTTATTTTACTTTGGTTATAATAGTAAAATATAAGTGTTTACATGACCAGTGAGAATCATTGATTTAGAGTAACTTCAGATTAATTAAAACCTTTAATACATGGAACATAAATTACAAGAAAATACTAACACGAAAATAAAAACTAAACAAAGGGTACTTCGAAGAAAGAAAATTGCAAAAATAAAAATTTAATGGACAAATTAAAAAAAAAAAAAAAAATCAAATTGTATCAGCGAAAGAAAAAGAAGAAGGCAGTAAAACAAACAGTTTTGCTTAATTTTAAGTTGTATTTTACCTCCCAAAAGTTCATCCGGATGGTTTACAAATTGTTTATAGTTTTTCAGTTACAAAGTATATATGTAATTTCATTTCCCGTTAATAATAATAAAATAATTATTACCATAAATGTAAATATTATTTTGATATACTTTTCAATAACCTAATGAAACTGCACACCACCATAACTATACAATAATGAATCAACAAAAAATAAAAAATCCAAACAAACAACAGTATTTTTATATTAATTTTATAACCTGCTGTTGGAAGTTTCTGTCTTTTACTTGGCGTGCCGTATCTAAAAAAATCAGATATTGTAAAAAACATTACCACATGGTATTATAAAATAATAAAAACGCAATAAAATTGCACAGAAATAACCCCATTGAACACTACAATGTCTATAAAACTATCATTGAATATTATTATTGATGTGATTTCGCACGGGAATTGTTATTAGAACGTAGAAAACTACGTATCGAAACCGTCGAAATTATATTACAAGACATTCCGCGTATATCTCATATTGTTGTACAGTTGAATTTAGAATGTTGCCAAGCAACGGGATACTCAAAGTTCTAAAGCTGATTGATTTCTAACGGCGCACATAATACGAGTATACCTGTGTCAAATTCGGATTCCACGAAAGGGATAACGCCTGTATGAGTTTACTTAAGTTTTTTATTTGAACGATATTAACTATTCTGAATAGAATATTATTTCAATACGCGATTAGTCTGCATTTATACTCTTCTTCAATCTTGCAATTATGATTGAATTCGAATGTTTAGTAAAATTCTTCATATTACTCTTATATGCATTTGATTTCTACGAATATTGATGAATTTTGATCAATATTCAACAATACCGCTTATTAATTATGTATTAGTTGTATCGCATTTCAGAAAATGAGTCGGTTATAAAGGCTATAAATAATGTTCAAGTTCATATATCGTGAAAAAAATTTTAAGATAATGAGATACTCCCTATATAGCCTTTAATGATGACAAGAAAAGGAGAAGTAGTTTTGTATTTTAAACTTTATTATTCACTTAAAAATAGTGGATCGAATTGCTGAGGAAACTGTTCATTATACGCAATATCCTCTTTTATGCCAGGACCTTAGTTTTTCATTTCCTTGAACATTTTTATAGATTAGTTAATCTTGGTATGATCCGACAAGAATAATAATTGAATAGGCAAAATTACGATAAAAGTTAAAATTAATACTGTTATACCATATATGTAATTGAATTAAAATCAATATTTATTATACACATTATACACCAAAATATCAAATATTATTGAATTTATGAGTTAAAATAATTGTAAGAATTGTGACAATTATATTATTATTAAATTAGTTTTGAACCTTAAAACGTACCTTATTTCAAAGTAAATTAGTACGACGAAATTAATTATAAATAATATAGTTTTTTAATACTATTTTAAAATCACATCAGGTGATTTCAAACGCAGATTAAAACGTCATATGGATATTAAATCTTAAAATTTTAATTTGAAAATGTCTGACAGAAAATAAGCACAAATATAATGATAATTAACGAATTTTTAAAAAAAATTGGTCAATTTAATTATATAATTTTAGTTTTATTATTATTTGTATTACTATGATTATGAATATATTTTTAGAATATTCAAAAGATTTGACGAATTAATAAGAATTGTATATTATATTATATTGATTATTATTTTTATTTTTTTTTAATATTTTTTGTACAGTGAAACCTCGATAAGAGGGAACATTTTTTTGTTTCAGTTTCAAATTAAATATAATTAACTAACCCCGTCCAGAAGGAAACTACAGTTACACGGAAAAATGTCATGGGCCCAAGCGATTCCGTCTTATCGAGGTTTTACTATAACTTAAAATTTGTAATGGGCCATATAAAATACCTGTGTGAAGAACATATGGCCCGCAGCCCGTAGTTGGGAAACCAGTTGTTCTAGATATTTGATATATATATATATATTTAAATCGATAGACTTCGAGATTTTTGGGGCTATTTTTAATTATAAAAAGGTTCTCCAAAATTAAATTCGTTAATTTTTTCTCCTACAGGGTTGAAAAATAATATAATGTGGGGACCACGAAATATAAGTGCCATCTGGCGAATTAAGATTACAGTCATAAAGTTTAAAGCGCAACACTAGACTTCGCAAGTGTATACTTTGTCGGTATCGTTCGTGTTTATATTTTGGGTCGGTGCCGTTAGATGGCGCGTCCGGTAGTGCCCGTAAATATGTTTAAAAATATATTTCAAAATCAGCACTGACCTTTGGGCGACAACGGTTCAATATTGCCCAGATAGAACGGGCCTTGTCTCGTAACGATCTCGTGGACGATAATAGCGAATGAGTAAACGTCTCCTTTCTGCGTGCCTTCTGGCGGCGGATGACTTAAGCGCAATAGTTCTGGAGCCGTCCAGAGGAATGCTAAAAAAATAAAAATAAAAATATTAAACATAATCGTTAGACTAACGATTTACAACAAAACAAACAATATATATATATAGTCATAGGACCGGTTGTCATATTATGTCTAAATGTTTAGAAAGTATGTAATTTGCGTCAAATCAAGGAAATTTAATTGAAGATATATTGTGTATAAAAATCATATACATAATACGACAGTCAGAACCACTTTAAATTGAAATTATCGGATTGGGGATCGAGTATTTTTTTCCACGTAATATGGACAGTAATTAAAATATCCATGATGGAAATGTATCTACTTACTTACTAATTTGTAACATCAGAAATCAAAATAAATTGAATATGAAATATTTACTTGACATTTATTATAATTAAATGAAAAAACGATAATATAAATGACACGTGGTTAGAAACTTTTAACTAAATAGGGTTTAAACTTTCATTTCTTCTGGTTAAAAGATTGCAGAATATTATATTGCGTTTAAAATATTTTAAGTTATTTTATGTTAGTATTTCCAAACAATTTATAAGTTGAGTTGTTACAGTACAAAACTATAGTTTAAATTAATTTCAACTGAAATTATATTATTCAATATTGAATTTTTATTTTGAATAAAAAATAATTTTTCATTATTATACTATGGAAATTTAAATGAAAAATAATGTACATGTACAATAAAACTATTTTTAATTTATTTAGCATAACAAAGTATATATATAAATTAATATTTTATTATTAAAAGTTTCCTGGTATAATTATAAAATTATGAATATTTGCATTACTAGTCCTTATTATAGTTTTATATATAAATAATGTGAAATTGTACCTGTAGGTATTTTATTTAAACACTAAAATGAAAACAGTGAATTATAGCTGTAATTAATTTCACTCGTGCTCCTTAAACTATTTTTGGGTCACAAAGATAAACTGTTATTTACAAAATCATAATTAGACAAGTATAGTGAATGAAATAAATATGTGCAGCAAACTCATCCAAGATAAGCTATACAAAGAATTTGTTTTAAGTTTCTTCAAATAATCTAAACAAAGACTTTGGGTTGCAAGCATTAAATCAAATATTCGAAGCTCACTTTTCAATTGTTTGATCTTAAATATAACATACACAAAATGTTAATAAAAATATATCTTTTGATTTATAAATCCAGAATTATAGAAATATTAGAATTCCTAAAGAAGACTCAAACGAAATGTCCCATTTAAAAATAAAAACACAATATTATCATGCAGATGCTATATATTTTGCATTTAAAATATTAACATATTATTAATTTTCATCTCAGTTGACAATAAATATACCGAAAATACATGATTTCATAAATAAAATGTGAATAAAAATTTTGAATTAAATTGAATAAAAATTGAAATCAAAATATACGAATGCATAGTATATAAACATAATGTAAGATTATACTATTTCTTAAAAAATTAAAAATTTACTAGGCATAACAATGTGAGTAATTAAATAAAATGTTTAAAATAAGATATGAGGATTAATTTTCAATTTGAAAAAAATGATGATATAATTAGTTTGAAATCATTCATGAAAGAAGATATATCGTTTACAAACATTTAAATTTCGGAATATTATTTTCAGAATTTTTATGAATTGGAAGATAATTATAAAAAGATTTTATGCATTTTAGAAAAAAATTTATATAAAATCGTTAAAAAGTTCTGAGAACTTCAACTTTCAAAATATACTTACATTAGAATGATCATATCAAAATAAAATATGATAATTAATACATATATCAACAATAACAATAAAATAAAATAATTTATGAACACTTAAAATAATAAATCATATATATATATATATATATATATATAAGTAAATCACTTTTAAACTTTATTACTTATATAATATAATATTTAAATATATCTAATATCAACCCTATACCGTTTCTTAAAAAAAAAAAAAAATAAAAATTATAAAATACATTAAATATGCAAAATAATTTCATTAAAAGAAACTTTTTGGTAAATGTTATTAATTTTAATTTTATGTAAGTTTTACATATTTCAATTATAAAACAATCCTCTTGTGTAATATTATTTATTATAATTCTACACCAACGAAAAAAAAAATTGGAATGTTCATGACTTAGGATGTGGGTTAATGTAAGATGAATTAAAATGTACGATCGGAAAATTAAAAAAAAAACAAATATAAAATTTTCAATGGTGTTTTTATTTATTTTACTATATCATTAAAAACACAACAATTAATTTATATATTTTCACATATTTTTTATTAATGTTAGTAATTGCTTTTTATAAAACTGATATTAAACGAGTGAGTGCCAGTTTTCTAATTATAACACAATAATATACTCGTGTATTGTTTTTATTCTATATAATTTTTAATGTTAATATTAATAATAATACCATTTTAATATGTTAATATTTATTTTATATGTTATTATAATTTTTATTCCTAAAAAAATTGAAGAACTTATTTTTACTAACTCTGTAGGTACATATAAATAATCAGAAAATATAAAACTAAATATTTAGAATTGACAATACTTTTCTCAACCGTTAAGTGCAGTAGTTTTCCAAATAAAAATATGAAATCATTAAAACTGTATGTATCATAGTAAAATTTTTTATGGTTTATGTACAATACGGAAAATTACATGTAATTTCTGCAAATTTTTCTGTTTGAAAACCGGATTAAAATACTTATTTATAAGCCTATCCGAGGAATAAAGTATAAACAATCTTCTAATTAATAAAATGATTTTATTGAATAAAATACAATTGATGTATGATGATTTTAAATATAGATATCTTAATTAAGAAACACATACCATAATTCAAAGCTATTTTTTTTCAAAATTTATTTCACAATCTCCTTGGCGATCATACTGTTTATGGAAATACTACACTAATGTAACTTTGTTATATTACTGCATTATTGAAAATTACTGTTTATCTTAATAAAAAGAAACTCAACGGTTTTATTAATATACATTTATACGAGTACATTACCTGAATTTAATTTATAAAAATAATATATTCATGAGTTTTATATGATTAGTGATTCAGCTTACTGCAGGGTTGTTTTAAGAAAAGTAAATCATTATAACCATGAATTTAGTAAATATGAAAACCGAAAATAGAAAAAAAAATTATTAGCTTCAATAAAGCGCACAGCGTCCCAGAGTAAATAAATGATCGAAAAATATATTAATACGGGATATTATGGAGTGTCAAATCTTGTATAAATTTAGCTGAAAAAAAAAAACTATTATTTTTCCCTGAACTTTTTTTCTTTGCGTTTCCATTTAGTTGTACATATTTTATACAATTCAAATGAATGGACTGTCGCTTCAACAATATTAATTGAATCAAATAAATTTTATGACAGAATACCGTATGGAGGACGTTGCTTACTAGTAATTGTTACGAGTATAACGATAAAATGCCTTGTTAGTGAAATGATACCATTATATTTTTATACACATCTATAAATGTACAAATATAAATTATTATTTTATGATATATATATATATATACATAATAAGATACGCACAATTTGCTTATAAAATATACAGGGAATGGAATACTGTGGCCTTAAATACATTATTCTTAAAAATATGTTATACGATTACAGCGCACTCACCATTGCATGATCGAAAAATACATAATTGTAACATGGTACAATCATTTTATTATATAAAATAATTTATCTTATACTACGTACATTATTTATACACATAATGTTCAGATGTATTAATTTTCATCGAATACATTTTTTTTTTTTTTTATAATAAATAAGTTACAAATTAATATTTTATAATAAATATAATCGATTGACTAAATAAATACACTACCACCGCCATCACCATAACATAGACTTACATACGCCATTTAATTTGTGACACAGTTATAACTTTATTCTAATCAACACCGCAGTGTGAACAAGCGAGTCAACAAATCACTGTGAATTCATGAATAAATTACTATTCATAAATAGTTATCGTGTACATTAATGCAAAAACTTAGATGACAGTCCTTGGTCATACCATGACGTATTTTTGAAATTTTTTTTTTTAAGAGCTCATGAATGAACCTATAGCAAATATATACAATAAATGTGCCTCACATAAGGTTTATCATTGCTATCAATAATTAGCTCGTGCGTGTTTCGCATGTATTATAATTTAAAGCAGTGTTCGATGTATTTAGAATCAATGGATCATTCATTATTCATTATGTATTGCAACCCTGGAGATACGGGATTGATTGGATTTATTTTAGACTTACTTTTAGATTAATATAAGACTGTTCGCGACAACGTTAGGACGTATGAGGTGTTAAATCAAAAATAAAATACTTCTAAGTTACTGATGTCCGTTACTAAATAAGTAAAATACGCTTTATTGAAACTAAGTAATATGTAGAGTTACGTTTTAAACATCATTTCATTTACCCATTTACCCTCACGACTCATATATGTATACTGTAAAATTGGGTGAATTTCAACTGGATAGTGAAGTGCAACAAATCTTCAATAATTTGTTAATTATTTTCAACGATTCAATTTTAGTATAATTATTTTTAAAATATAATAAATAAATTCGGAGTGATAAATGTTATCTTTGGAAAAAAAAATCTCCGATTAATTCTACATCTACAGAAAAATATTACCTCTACACTTTTAATTTTACTAATTTTACTATCTTCAAATTCCTAGTTTGGTTAATGTTGTTAAAATGTCACTATCAAAATAATTTTTTTCAGTACACAATATATTGTCAATGTTTTAAAAAATTTCAAAACAAAAACGTACATTTTTTAATTTGATATAAATTTTAGAAGCGTCAATTTCTAGTATTTAACCAAAAACGGGGTGATTTTCAATAAAAAAGTAAACAGTACCAAAAATGTTTTATTTTACAATTTTATGATAAATTTTATTCTTAGATGCCTAGAGTTTACATTTCTGACCTCAAAGGGACACAAATCGAAA